TACTGAATTAGGAGCACAACCATAGAGATAAAAAAACAAACCACTTTATTAATTGGGTCCAAAATAACAGGTATCCCAAGATGCATGCCAAAAAACCTTAGCATTAATGTCACAACAATAGTACAAAAAATATAGTGCAAGCATACGACTAAGGGATCCTGTAGTATACTAAAGGCATGGGTGAATCTCTCCTTTTTCTTTCAACTTCATTTAAAGAAAATATTTTTCCTTGCAATACTTGATGAAAGGAATGTTGTATTAAAATATTTCGAGGTGACAGATGTCCTTTAAAATCACTGAATCATGAGTAGATTTGCACTGAACATATCAAATTCTATAGTCACAGTGAATTGCTTTAGGACTCTACAGTCTTCTGCTGAGCAGCGTTTATGCGGATTTTGTAGGAAGTGGATATCAGTCATACATATGGGCTGTTACTGCAATGTCCACATCCTCCATGGTGAAGCCTTGAAACTCATTTTGTCTCTAGCATCACTGGGCGGCAGACATATCTTTACATCAAGAGTGATCCACACTAAAGTCTTCCAGGGTTCAAGCTTTCTCAAGAAGGTAGAAATGTTTCACTAAATATTTGGTTGTCTTAACAATGACACTGTCACCCCCCTCTGCAAAATGAATATTTTACAAAGATAGAATCTTAATACTCATATTAACTATGTTGAAATTTCACTGAATTTCCATGCAAGTCAAGAGATATACTGAGACAAAGTAGAGACTGCTTTGTCTCACTATTTTTCCTCTGTTTGAGACTTCAAGACCACTACTGTCATTTAGAAGTGTCAATCCCAATTCTAGTGACAACTGCAGGGAATTGGCTCTGTCTATGGAGGCTCTGCGGTCTCGCGGGACCCTCAATAGACCTCAATGCTCAACCCGTGCATACGTGAGAGTACAGCAATAGCATTGGCTCCTTGTACTGAAGCACCAGGAGTAGAAGAAGATCAGCCAGAAGAGGATGGTGGCACTTGTGAGGGACAGGTTCAGGTAAGTTAAACTCACCTTTGTGTGCGCCCCCAGCATCCGAAACCCTAGCAGCGATGTCACAGTGTGTGTAGAAATAATTAAAACAAAACAATTTGCCCTGCTCTTGGATGCTTGAAATTATGGCTTTAGAAAAGCACCTAGACTAAGTTGTCAAATGTTGAAGCTGCAATAAGAGTTTACTATGGAATTGAGCATGTAAAATGCAAGATTTTCAATATGTAACTGGGAAAATAATCTCCAACTTTTCATTGAGAGGAACAAACTAAGAATATGCTGCAGAATATTCAATTAAACAAAACCAACACATTTTCAATTCTTTTTTTTTGACCCAAAGAGATATAGTCACTTAATGCTCTAGAATAATGAATAAAATAAATTATTATTATTTCGGAACACAGTATTATTTATTTGTATTTATTTTTACAAACAAGGAAGATATGGGATAGTCATGTAACAAGATAGTTAATAGCACAACAGATGGATCAAGCATGGCATCCGTGTTATTAGCACGGTTTATTGGGGTATCATGTTTACAGAACACAGGCATGACATCCCATTAAACATGGCATTCTCTGGTTGTAGGACAACAAGACTAATATTTAAGAATAACATACAGAGGATAGAAAACTCCTGCTACGGCCAATCATGCAACCTCTGGGTTCCGGATCAGGGAAATGTACAATAATTTATTAGATACTGAATTTATTATAGAGCTTAAACATTTTCCTAGGAACTGTGTGATGGAAAAATAAAAATGCATCAATGGGAAAAAGAAGACATCATTAGTTTCTGTTTATTGGTTCTCCTTGTGATCTCATGTGTGGACTAACACATTGAAATTAGTTCAAATTTCACGTTTTGTTTATTGTGGTTAATCAGAGCACTTGGAAATTACCAGATTTTACTATTTCATGACGTAAAGTCATGTTTTTTTAATGACACGGAGGCGAGTATTATGCTGCACTTTTTCTTTATTTCCCTCAGCAGCAAAGAAATATGACATTCTAAAAATCATCAAACAACATATATATAACATCAGAGGTCAATCTTCATAGTAACCGGAACAGCCAATCAGCATCCAGTCCTTGGCATAACAGGCGGTAACCATTAGATCACTTTCTCTTTCTTGCAATCCCGAAGACAAACAGAACATCCAGAACCATAAAGAAAATAAATCCACAACAGGCAGTTGGTATGGAATCACCAACGTGACCTTGAAGGTAAGCTGTAAGATAGAAACAATATGGTAATACCCAAGCCGTAACTGGATGTATGCATCGTAATTTACCGCAAAATATACATCAATCATAATATATATCATAAAATAGTATTTGAAACATTTATAAAGCATTAACCCACATATGATAGAAGCTGTATAGACATAACATGCATCATTGAGACCTACCGTGAAGCAACAACTTACCCAGCCAGTATGTTGTCATCTGGGAAGGGCGGGAGGGATAATACTTGCCTCCGTGTCATTAATAAAATCATGACTTTACATTATGAAATAGTAAAATCTGGTAATTTTATTAAGACACGGAGGCTCCTATTATGATAGTTTAAAGCTGTGAAATGACTGTTCCTGCAAAATGTTGAATCGGTTTGAAATAAAAATCTTGAAATGTAGATTCAGATGACCAGTCAGCAGCTTGCTAAATATCCTCTAAACAGCAGCCGACTGCCGAGGCTTTACAAGCCATAGCACCATGCACCGAATGGGGAGAGAATATGCAAGTATCAATGCTGGATAGAATCATAATCCATTTGAACCATCGGGCCAATGAAGGAGAGGAAGGCATGGCTTGTGGAAGGAGATGAACAATTGTTGTTTCAGAGGATTCCATAAAGAAACAGACTTTCATATTCCCGTAAACATGCCGCAGGGCAAAGAAGAAGTCTCTCTGGAAAAGCTGGGTAAACAACAGACTTAAAAGAGGTCTTGGTCCTTCTAGAGATGTCAAAAAGAACGCCTTCCAGAGTAAATGAACGAGCATCCGTGTCAAGAGCACATACGCCAGAGACTCTTTTGCATGAGATTAGACAAAAGAGCATGATTAATATAGCAGAGAGTTGTTTGAGGGATAGTAGTCCTTGTCTGGCCATGACTCCAGAAAGTTGAGGACAAGAAAAACATCCCAGAGAGAAGAATAGTGAGGTAAAGAAGGACGGGAAAAACGCATTCTGCGATGGTGAGGTGACAGACAAAAGGATGTTGTCCAATAGGTATACCATCAATGCCTAAATGTCCGGCGGAAAGCGCAGAACAGTAAAGGTTAACTGTGCGGTATGCTTTCCTTGCTTCAAAAAGAGAAGTCAGAAAATGTAGGATGGGTGTTAAAGGAGCCAAAAGGAATGATGGGAATACCAATCCGCTGTGGTGTTGGAGAGGCCAGGGATATATTCCGCTGTCACCGAAATGTTGTGAATAAGGCAAAATTGCCAAAAATCACGTGCCATCTTCACCAGGACTTTGGACTTTGTGCCTCCTAGATGGTTGATGTATCTGACCGCTAAAACATTGTCCATCTTGAATAGGATTGTGCAGTGGGAGTGAGTTGGAGAGAAGGTGCGTACAGCAAAGGATCCGGCCAGAAGCTCCAGGGAATTGATATGTAGTGTGGATTCTAGATCTGACCATCTGCCTCCTGTGGAGATATTTCGACAATGCGCACCCCATCCGTGCAAGCTTGCACCCAATTCTATGGTCAGGTCTGGGGTCATTCCGAAGATAGCGCATCCATTCCAGGCTTCCATGTGGAGAAGCCACCAATGAAGCTTGTCCTGTGCTTCCTTGTCTAACGTCACCATTTCTTCGTATGACGCTCTGCCTCTGAGGTAAGAGGCTTGTAGTCATTGAAATGCCTGATAATGGAGAGGGCCTGGAAATATGGCTTGGATGGAATCCGCTAGGATTCTGATGACTCTCGACAAATGTTTGAGGGATAGCTGGGATCTACCAGCTTGTGTCTGATTTCTTTTTTTATATATACCAGCCTCGATGTTGATGGGTATAGAGTCTGAAGAGTTGAATTGACTACTGGTCTCAGGAATTTGATACGTTGGGAAGGAGCCAATACAGATTTTTCTCAATTTATAATGAAACCAAGGATTTGTAGTAATGTTAGATGTGTGTGGAGGAAGCTGACTGACTAAGCTAAAATGAAGATATTGTCCAGGTAGATAATAAGAACAATGCCTTGAATCCTTAATAGGGAGACCACGAGTTTAATAATCTTGGTGAAGCACCAGGGGGCCGACGAAAGTCAGAACGGAAGGCACCTGAATCTCCATTTTCGGCCTTGCCACATGAACTGGAGAAAATGTTGGTGTTGTTCTGTTATAGGGACTGTGAGATAAGTGTCCTGTAAATCTAATTTGGCCATCCAATCTGCTGGTTCGAGTAAGTTGTGAAGACAATGGTGATAGGACACATAATTGTTCAGTTATTTTAGGTTTATGACTGGTCTCACCCCTCCACCTTTTTTGGGGACCAGGAAGTAATTGCTGATATAACCCGGGGTATGGGTTGGAATTTCTGTGATGGCTTGTTTGCACTTTAGTTCTTGAATCTCCTTGGATACAAAGTGGGCATTTTGATGGGAAAAAAACTATTTCCCCAGGGGGGAAGCTTTGGGCTGGGTGTGACACAAAATCTATCTGGTAGCCCGTCATGGCCTGAAGGACCCAAGCATCTGACGTCAGATGTGCCCACACATGAAATAAATGCATTAGGGAAAAAGAGGGAGTGTTGACAATTACCATCGTCTTCCAGAAAGTGCTCCTCGAATGTCCCAAGTGACCCAGGGTTTGCCCCTCTGTGGGAAGAATGCTAGTGTAGCTTTGTGTTCTTGGAACCCAGATCACCCTGAGTAGGAGCCTTGGTTCTGTCTGTAAGAACATCTTTGTGTACAGCCGGTCAGAAGGCTCCTTCCTGTTCTGGCCCCAGCAAAAATGTTTGTGTTAAAACATTTTTTCTCACATTACTTTGGGCTTTATCCAAAGCCGAAAAACATCTGTATAAATGACCAAAACTCTTTAACAAAAGAGTCACCGAAAAGTAACCATTTGGCCTGGGCACCTGGCTCATTAAGAGTTAAATTGACCAGCTTAGGTTCAATTTCCAGCAAGATGGACTTTAGGCGCTCAGAAGCCAGCGCAGTATTTACATTGCCAACCAGGCAGATAATCCGTTGGATCCAGCCATGGATGGTGTCTTGATCCAAATCCTGGTCGTCTTCATCCTGATTAAAAAAATTTGCAGCAGGGCCTAAAATGTCTTGGACCTTATCCTGACTGTGGGTCAATGAAAATCCAAACCCTTTTTTGGGTTTCCATCTAGTATTCACCAAAAACTGGACACTTTTTGGATCTACATTCTGTTCCGTGTGGCCTTGTCCAAGGGCTTACCAACTCTAGAGGCGATGTATCTTGCCACATGTTCAGAAGGGCAGCACTCCACTGAACGCAGATGTCTTAATTCCTCTGGATCAAACAGGGGTAAACCCAGAGGATCCAAATTTTTTGCATCGTCGCCAGAGCCCGACACACTTACCTGGGCCCCGGAAACTGTAGCAGGGAATGTGCTGTAAGTGAAGGTGGTTGCCTCTCCCCCTGCACTGTTGGAGTCTGGTTCAGACTGGTAGTCTGAAGCGTCCATTATGGACTTATTGCTCTCCTCCTTGATGTTGAGATCAGACATCGAAGACGTCCGCTTCCAAAGTCTAGTCGATTTTGCCTGGCTAGTGGCTCTTTTGCGCGGTTGTGTTTGCGCGCCATCCATGAGAGCAGGAAAGCTGTCTGTCAAAATTGTTTTGGAGGAGTGTTTAGACTTGACCATAGCTTCACGGCCTTGTAGGACTGGTGCCTATATCGGTGCAGTCGACATGATAGTCTGCTGAGCTGACTGTTGGGCCTGTAAAATGGCCTGAGTGATGGTTTGTGACAAAGAGGTAGACATCACACCCATAGCAGACATCAGAGCCTGCGTCATAGATCTGGACATTGAGGTATCCAAAAGCGCCTGCATGTCTGCAGATGCAGGAAATTCAGGGAGAAAATCCCTTCCTCAGCGGTATCATCGTGGGGAATCTGAGATGTCTCATGCGACCCAGAGGTCATGGGAAAATCCTTGTCAGACTGCATGATAAATATTGTATAGTAATAGTGGTAATAAAATAGGGAAACCTAAATATAGGGTTGATTAACCCACAAGGGAAGAAAATGCTGAAAATAAACTCACAGTTATAGAAATAATGCAGAGAGAGAAAAAGAGCGAATGGTGAAAACTACAGAACGACATGCATGTGCGAATCGTGTCTAACTGGACAAAAGCTGCAAAAGGGGGGGCGAAAGAACAGTAACCGTTAGGGAAATAAACGGGGCAAATGGGTAAAATATAAAATGTAAGTAGAGGAGAACCCCTCAGTCCCCAAAAGGTTTTACTTAAAGGGAACAGGGGCAAGATAAAAGCACAGTAAACAAAACAAATTACACAATTAAAACACTACTGAATAAAAAAATTTATAAAATTAAAATGCAACTAATGAAAATAACAATGAAATAATAATAATTAGATAAAATTATAATAAATCACAACCATAATAGATAAACAGTAGTATATAACTATCCCACAGTTAAGAGAACTAAGGGAGCAGTGTACTTAACTGAGGGAGCAGCAAAGAAAGAGGAAGTGATCTAATGGTTACCACCTATTATGCCAAGGACTGGATGCTGATTGGCTGTTCTGGTTACTAGGAAGATTGACCTCTGATGTTACATATATGTTGTTTGATAATTTTTTAATGTTATATTTCTTTGCTGCGGAGGGAAATAAAGAAAGAGCATAATAGGAGCCTCTGTGTCTTAATAAAATTAATTTCCTTCATTCGATTCCAACAGAGGTATGCACTAAAGGGAGAATTTAAAGTTAATTCAAAGTGAAATTTAAAGCCATAGAGTTTGAACTGGAAACATAGCTGACCAAGAGAATCTTTCTATTTTGGCTACTTTTACCTTAAATTTGAAATTCCCTTTGAATTCTCATGTTAGTAAATAACCCTGTCAGAAGAAAAATACTAGTTTGGTTTTACTAGGGTCACTGAATGCAAAAGTATGAGTAATTCCAAATAAATTGAAATGTCAGGTTTATTTTTTAATTTTTTTATTTAGTCTTTGGGAGCAAGTAGATCGGTGATTAATAATGTCTAGATCATCAGTCTGATATGCAAACATAGGACGGTGTAGCACGCCCCAGGAATAGCCATTGGAGGCAAGCAAGACTAAAGGAATGCACGAAATGATTATTATCCTTGAGATTTCCCAGTCTCCCCTGCATTCCTCACTGTTACAGCCTGTAATGAATGGCTCCTATGGTCTACAGCCTTTGACCTCTAATGTATATTGACTGGACTTTGTGTTGAAGGTGTAATGCCCTCTCTGATCGTCTAAACTTGGACATGGATCATTGAAAATATCTCGTCCTTCGTCTCGTTGCTTATTGAGAACCTTAAAATGACTGAAAATGGGGGTATTAAAGGAACCTTTTTTGTGAACATGCATACATTTTTTTTTCTGTATGTTTTCCTTGGAGGTATATGAATACATAGCTTGCAAAATCTGCCAGCCCTCTCTTCTCTCCCAGACACAGACTTTCACTTCCTGCAGAGGAATATCCTGATCAGAAGCTTTCTCATTGAGTAGTTGTGGCTTTCCAGTGCTTTCCAGTGCTTTTAATACTCTAACTTAGGGCACCTGCCCCTTCCGTTTTGCTCTTAGCTCTGTGAAGCTAACGGAAGTGTAAGGAAATCTCCCTGGCTGTTTAAGTAACAAATCTAAAAGGGCCAATTTCTATTGTGAATTGTATTTTGTTTTGGAGGCGTGACATCTCTCCTTCAGGATTGTGTTTAAAGTAGAAACACTCCTTGTTTTATAAAGTTAAATGATTCTTTATTTGCAATTGAAAACACCGAACAATGTGTTAGCAGAGAATTCGTCTTTATTGATTTAGAATTTAAACACCTGGATGCTAAAGCCAATAAGGCAGGACCTGTGAACCATGGAGACAGTTTATTGAGGTGGGTGCTTTACTTTATTTTAATATATTCTAAAGTAAAAACATAGCATTCTGTGTTGGGGAGATGCTCATCACAGGAGATACTGATAGATAGACTTGGATATTCTGTATGGCCGATGGGGTGATTGGCTGAATTCCCAAACTCTGAGTCGAAGTACCCCAATTAAAAACCAACCAAAATGACACAATCATTTCAGTTTGGGATTTTGAATTCTGCTTGTGGCACAAAAACAAAACAGATGATTGCTGAACACCTGCTAGAAAAGATCCCATACCGCAGTGATGGGAAATGAAAAATAATGGGGAGGAAAATAGTCGCTTGTGACCCCACTTGTGGGCATTGGGTGGGGGTCACTTAGAATTTTAAGGGGAGCATTTATTGTCCCTTCACTGGGCCCTCACCCATGCTGGCGGTTGAAGTTCCTAATATTTATAATAAAAGGAACGACCTCTTGTCTCTTCTGGCACCCACCCATGTCGGTGGGTAGAGGTTCTAATATTTATAATAAAAGGAACGACCTCTTGTCTCTTCCCCTGGCACCCACCCATGTCGGTGGGTAGAGGTTCTAATATTTAAATTTAAAAGGAGCGACCTATTGTCTCTTCCCCTGGCACCCACCCATGCCGGTGGGTAGAGGTTCTAATATTTAAATTTAAAAGGAGCGACCTATTGTCTCTTTCCCTGGCACCCACCCATGCCGGTGGGTAGAGGTTCTAATATTTAAATTTAAAAGGAGCGACCTATTGTCTCTTCCCCTGGCACCCACCCATGTCGGTGGGTAGAGGTTCTAATATTTATAATAGAAGCATGTGCTTATTTTAGTGCTGTATTTGTTTTTCATTATGATTAACAGCAATTGTCACATTTTTTACTATTTTTGTATTTTACAGAAGTTAACAGCCTGTTTGTGCTCTGGAAAGGTTGATTAACTCCTTAACGACCTAGGACGGTTCAGGACCGTCATCGGCATTTTTGCATTGCCGACCGGTGATTGTCCTGAACCGTCCTAACGGTGCAATGCGATCGTGTGATCGTCGTTGCTCCCGGTGTGGGGAGACTGCCTGCAGCCCAGACAGTCTCCCCGCCTTCGGATTAGGACCCCTTAACAGAGCGATCACATGGTCACAATAGGTGTCCTAGTGTCTGCCTGCAGGGGGACTGCCTGTGCTGACAGGCAGTCTCCCTGCATGTGTAAAAAAATAAAAAAAATAACTGTTAATGTTAATAATAAAAAAAAAAATATTATATATGTCTATTTATCATATATATAATGTCATACTAAGTGTATTTTTATATTAATATATACATATATTAATGTAAAAATACACTTATAATTAAATTACACACGTATATATATAATATTTATAATAACTATATATATTGTATATATATATATACATATATATATTATAAAATACAAATAATAAGTAAATTAAATGAAATAAAAAAAATTAAAATAATAATAAAAATTTTAAAAAATTATATATCTATATGAAATTTTATTCTAACTATATTTTGATATTAAAATATATATATATATATCAAAATACACTTAGAATGAAATTGTATATATATCTATATATATATAAATACATAAAAATAATACAAAATATACATATGTCCATATACAAAATTACATAAAAAATTATATAAATATACACATAGACTTCAAATATATAAATATGTATATATATTTAAATTCTACGTGCGTATTTATGTAATATTTTTACATAATTAAGTAATTTTATTAATTGCAATTTGAGGGACCTGCCTGCCAACCCAGGCCGAAAGTCCAGAGAATTTAATTTGCCAGCACTGTATTTTACCATGTAACTTTCTATGACACCCTAAAACCTGTACATGGGTGGTACCGTTTTACTCGGGAGACTTTGGCGAACACATATATTAGTGATTCAAAACTGTAAAACATATCACAGCGATGATATTGTCGGTGAAAGTGACTTTTTTCACATTTTTCACACACAAATAGCACTTTTACTGATGATATAATTGTTGTGATACCTTTTCCTGTTTTGAAACACCAATATTTGTGTTCAGCAAAGTCTCCCGAGTATAACAGTACCCCCCATGTACAGATTTTATAGCGTTTTTGAAAGTTACAGGGTCAAATATATGGATCAAATATTTTTACATTGAAAATGGCCAGGTTGGTTACGTTGCCTTTGAGAGCGTATGGTAGCCCAGGAATGAGAATTACCCCCATGATGGCATACCATTTGCAAAAGAAGACAACCCAAGGTATTGCAAATGGGGAATTGTCCAGTCTTTTTCAGTAGCCACTTAGTCACAAACACTGGCCAAAATTAGCGTTATTCAGAGTATTCCTGGGCACCTGCCCTCCCCCTCGTCCAAACATCACCTGACCTCCAACATGGCCTTAACTTACCACCATGCTAACTACTGGCCCACCTTTTGGCTCAGTGGGTACATCCGAATGTCCAAACCTTTACCAGAGGTTAGGGGAGGGACCAGACCCAACCTTCCTTCTTCCCCCTGTACTCTTCCTCCAACCAGGCTTGGCAAGGACCATACCAGCCAGCTGCAACAAGAGAATAGAGTGAGTAACATAGAACAAAACATCAACAAGGGAGGGTGGGTGGGAAGCTGTTACCAAACCATTATTTTAAGATGGCTGAAGTCAGGAGGCAAATTGACTGCCTATTTATATAGTCCAGCACCCTATCCA